GGCGGCGGCGGCGGAGTGGGAGACGTAGACATTTACTAGGGAGATTGCCCATAGTGAGCTCGTTGTGTGTCAAACCACCGTGAGGTTGGAGTCTAGAGCCCCTCCGGAGCTTCCTACTCTTCTCGTGGTCAAACACGCACTGAGCCTGAGCGGCCCAGCCTGGCCCTAGTGATGCATCCCTGGGACACGTCACAAAGAAGGGCGCGCACGCGCAGCGCGGCAGGAGGCCCCAGCACAGGGCAAAGGGGAGGCCCCAGAGCCCCGCTGGTTAGCCTCCAGTGCCTGGGACTTTCGGTCGCCAGTGGCGGGGTATAGGCTGCCTGCTGCCCTTGGTCCGTGCGCCCGTTGTCGTGTGTGGACAACCAGCAAGGCCACAGCGTGGGGACTGTAGGTGAGTGCCGTGGTTGTCAGGCCCCTCAGCGCCTCGGTGTGTGTCGCCAGCCCTTCCCCCAAGAAAGACGAGTGCTGGGGGGCTCTCAAAGCTGCAAGGGAGGTGCCCGCTGCCCCCCGGACCCTCTCTGATTCCCTGCCGAGGCTTCGAGCCAGCTGCATTTTCGCTGGGGCTGCCCAGGCTTTCAGCATCGCCCTCCAGACGGCGGCAGTTTCCAAGTGGTTGCCACACCCTGACCTGACCGGATGCTGCGCCCCACGACCTCCCTTCCTGGCAGGCAGGTCCTTGCTTTCTTCCTTTTGAGGAATTTGGCAAAACAGCATTTACAATTTAGACCGCCCCTCAGGTCACACAAGTGGTGGTTTAGTTGGGATTCAAGCCCAGGGTAGTGACTCCCAGAGCTCTTACTCTGAACTGTGGTGCCTCCTTACCATATATGCATCACGTGTTACCATCTTTTTCTTTTTCCTAGTTCTTAGGGTACTTAGCAGGTGCCATATATACAGTAAGGAGAGGCACTGCCCAGGACCAGGCCTTCATTGAACAAAAGCTCAAATCATAAAATAATCGGGACCACAATGGGTTCTGGTATCAGAAGATGTAGGTCATAGACCACCAGTGGTAAGAATAGTACCATCCAACAATTGTAACTGAGCCTTAAAGCCAAGAATTTCTCTTTGGTCTACTCAGAAGAATCCAAATACATAAAATTTATGTAAAGACTATATGTAAAAATGGAAGAGATTATATTCTAGATACTTTGTGGTCTCCCTGGAGGAAATTCACCTGTGGATTATTCCATATGGATTAGAAGCCAATTTCTCTGGCCTTCTAGGAATATGTCTGGTAAGGCATCTCACTAATGTCCAGAAAGCAAGTATGTCATTCATTGTACGTTAAGAGTGGAGCAACGTATTGGATTAAAGAAAGGTCAACACAATTTGGTCACTGTGAGCATGCCAGCCAGGTTCATTCTTCACCTCACATTGTTGGCGCTTAAACAGAATTCTAGAGATTCTTATGACCAAGAAGGGAGAGATATGCTTGGGTGTCTGGCAAGAGAAACATGTATTCTTGTCTAGGAGCTGGAAGCTTCAGCATGAGGAAGAAGGTTTTAAAAATCTTGGTCTACAATGGCTTTTTCTAGTTTAATCTCGTTTCTGTGGTTTACTTCATTGAAGTGTTTTCTTCCTCATGGGACTGATGTTGCATATCTAGGACATGATATGCATAAGTTTCAGAACCAAGAATCCTATAGATCAGCAAAAAATACATATTAAAAATTTTATATATATGTATTATATTATATATACATCTATAGACACATAGTAAAACCTCGGATTGTGAGCAACTTGTTCTGCAAGTGTTCTGCAAGATGAGTCAAAATTTCTGATAAATTTTAACTTGGTAAACAAGGGATGTCTTGCACTACAAGGAGTACATGATGCCAAATGTCACATAATTGAGCCAATGGTTCTCTCTCTCTGTCTGTCTCTGTGAGTCTCTCTATTTCTCTGTGGAATTGTGGGTGATCTTCTCCCATGCTCCGATGCTCTGTCTCAGGCCAGGTGTTTGGCAGAATCAGTGATTTTTCAGAACACTGGAAGGTGTCCACAACTGGCACTGGTGTCTTTTTTGTCACTTCAAAGCACCTATGAGCAGTCCTTTGCTTTTCCATACAAGAGTAAGCTCAGGAATGCTTTGCCTCATTCTAGGTCAGCTGCCTGCAAATATAGACCCGTTCCTCTGCTGCCTTATTGCCAGTTACATTACATAGAGCATATGACAAGAGCTTATTAATAGTGTAGTGCAGTCAACATGCGTTAGCGATAATGACACTTATCCTACACAATAACCCTTTTCTCTCTTGTCTCCTTCACACCAGCCACAAAGGGTTTCAAAGGTAAGTACAGGGTAATTTATTTATTTTTCTTTATATTTTGTATTTTCTTTATTATTTTGTATTATAGTGCAGCATTATAATGATTTTTATATGAATATTTTTGGGTTGTGGAACAAATCATCTGAGTTTCCATTATTTATTATGGGGAAGTTGGTTTTGATACACAAGTGCTTTGGATTACAAGCATGTTTCTGGAACAAATTTTTCTCATGAACCAAGGCTTTACTGTCTTTTTTTTTTTTTTTACTTAAAATAGCGCTGGGCATAATTTATATTTTACAAAATTATCTCTAGTGCTCTGGTTATGAGAGCTTCTATAGTATGTTAGAACAAATTTGGACTTTCATCCCCAACAAACTAGGGGGTTGGTAGGACACAAAATGTTTTGCTCAGACCCTAATTCTGCTTGAAAAAAAAGGAGAAATATTATAAGTCCTTTCTAATGTGTCTCAGAGCAAAAATCTTTTCCAGATAAGACATTTAACCACAAGCCCTTTGATATCATTTGAGTTCAATAAAGAAGAGTTTCTTGGCAGCATTTGTTTCAACAGAAATAGCAAGCTTGTACAAATTTTGTGCAAAGATTTCTTATCAGAACACTGAAAGAGATAAGGATGTCAGATATAGTTGAAAACAATAAATGACAATCATGTTATTTTCATCATTTTATTTTGCAGGAAGGAAAAATTAAGCATATGATGCCTGTTGGGGCTTCAAGACAATACAAAAAAAAGTTGTGTAATGATAGCCCAGAAAAATCTCCCTTTTGACCTCTCTTGTCAAATGTGAGTAGACAGATAGGATGCTTTTTTGAAATACAGACCATTCTCTTACTTGTCCTTACAGGTAAAATATATTAGATGGTAAGTGGTTATTCTGAGATAATTTGCCTGGGCAGAAGCAGACATGTTGAGACAGAATTTGTTAAGACAAAATATTTTTTAAATGATTAATTTAATCATTAATAAAAATACTTTGATAAGAACCACAAATTATAGTTGCCAGGAAGAGTCCTTCTCATTTGACAATTTATGAAGCAACAATCTCCAGTTATAGTCCATGAGGCCATGGATGTGTAGTCTTGGAAGGAGATGGTAGTAGTGACAATGAACCAGAGCTAACACCCTGTGGTTCAACACTCCCTCCCTGTTCCCTTGCCTTCCTTACCAATAATCTGTTGTAATTCCTACAGGGTTACTATGGAGGGAAGATTGAGTGACCCATCAAACTCATTAGATGAACTTTTCCACCCTAAATTAACTTTTGTCTCCTTGTTTTCAACCCCTATTTTCTCTTCTCTTGACTATAAACAGGGCTCAACAGAAGCAGACTGGCCTTGTGCAAACCCTTCTTTAGAAAGTCTTTTCTTGATCATTCTATTCATCAGTCCTGCATTTCACTTTTGCCTTTTTAGAATGTATCAAAATCTTTCTGTGGTTGATGAGTTCCACATTCTCTTGGCTTTGATTTGTATTAATTTTGGTATTTCTACACTTGCATTAAATATGGTTTCAGGAGGAACAGAAAGTAAATGTGTTTTTCTAGTCTGTCACCTTGAACTGAAAATACCTATTGATTTTAGCATCCAACATTCCCATATAAAAAAAAACCCAACCTCAGCATTCACATTCAACTGTTCGTGAGAAATCACTAAGGATTTAGGTTGTGGCCATTTCTAATGAGAAAATAATACCTGTCTCATGGAGTTGATCCGAGGACTAAATAAGATAATGAACATGAAAATGATTTGTAAAGTTTAAAGTTGTCTAAGAGACTTGTGTGAGAGGGATAAAGGTGGAAAAGTGGAGAGCTCCGTACTTCTAGCCTGCCCGCATCTCTCAAACAAAGAAGGGCTGAAGCCCTAGGACACTGAACCACAAGAGTCTGGGAGGAAAAGTGACAGGGTGCACGAAGAAGACAGACTCATAGGTGAATGATTGTGAACTGGGGAAGATAAAAACAGGCTGGGACCTGGAGGCACAGAGGGGAGGGAGCCCCCTCTATAGAGAGCCTCAGAAAGACAAGGGGAAGAGAAAGAGCTACTGAAACTGCTCATAGGTCAGTCCCTAGAGAAGAGAAAAACCTCTGTCCAGGACAGAGAGGGATCCTATTATCCCATCTCTTACGCAGGGCATTCAGAGAGAGATCCTATCTCTAGCTGTGGCACTTTCTTTGGGCTGGGCGCCCGGGTCCCAGGCAGCACAGGAGAAACTGCTCCCCTACTCCCCCTATTCGACCCTGACTGGGAAATGGCCTGGCCTTTGGGATTACATCTTGGGCAGTATCATTAAAGCTAGATCTGGAAATAAGGCAGGGCTTGGGACTTAGAACATGGCCCACCATTGCTACACCTGGGCACAGGGACATTGGACCCAAAAGAGTGATTTCCAACGCTTGGTTTGAGAAGGGACTGGGGCACCACCAGTTTTCTCCCCACAACCACCAAGGTGGGGCCTCAGGGAAAGGCTCAGGGGACCCACAGTGGAGGCGAGAATCACTATAGAATATTTTGAATTGAGTGATAATGACAATATTACTTTTAAAAGGTGAGGAGGAATGATATCACTGGAAATAAAGGAGCTGTGAATCTTGGAGTTCTGACCCTTCCAAGACACACACTCACACACTAAAAAACTAATAAGCTGGAAACACTATCAGAATCAACATTTTTAGAATTTTGGAATTTAATAAAAATCTTACAATAGTTAGGGGAAAGCTTAAGAGAGAAAAAACTACTACATTGCATAAGGGCACAAGTGGCATTTTAAAGTTTCCACCTACCATTTCCCACTTACCAGATTGGTAGCAGCCATAAGATGGCAGCTCATAGTTGCTAGTGCCAAATGGAGCAAAAACGGGCCCAGGTCTCAAAGAACTGTGTTTTGTGTTTTGAACTATCTGGTTCCCTCAAAGACTGGCATAAAGGCTTGCCTTTGTTTCCTGTGAATTAAAGTGTTCCTGGGGCTAGGGTGGCTTACTTGGTGGCTTTTGTCAGTGACATATAAAGGCAAAAGTACTGGCTGCAGCAGCCTGGGACAAGAAGTAACAAGAAATAGACAGGCTCTTGAATGCTGACAAAAACTGAGGACTGATGGATGTGGGGGGGAGGGGAGTATGGGCATGGAGGAGGACACTTGTGGGGATGAGCACTGAGTGTTATGTGGAAAGTAATTTGACAATAACCTATTTGTAAAAATAAATAAATAAATAAATAAGAAATAGACAGGCTTCCCAGATAAAAAGCCTGAAAGGAAGAGGTCGGGAAAAGAGGTAAGTGAAGAATAAGGGCTTTTACAAACTCACACACACTGGGTAATGGAGAAGTCCATGTTCATAAACATGGCTGAAGGCATGTGCAGAAAAGGCTTGAGAAGACCCTAAGCTTTCCCTCTGGCTGGCCTTCAAGGTCCACATAAATAGGAAGTAAGGCTAAGGCAGAGTTTTAAAAGATGTGGATAACTGAAGGAGTGAACCAATATGAAGCCAATCTGTAAAGACTGGGAGAATTTTTCTCTTTATTTTCCTTTTCTCTCTCTGCCTCTCTCTCTCTGCCTCTCTCTCTGCCTCTCTCTCCTCTCTCTCTTCTCTTCTCATCTTGGTTCCAAGCATTTAAGGAAATTGTTAAAACTAGCTGACCGCTAAGCTAACAGAACACAGATATCAGTGGCCCCATATGATAAAGACTACAGGCTTATATGAAATACTTTAGAGAAGATATTAAACAAATACAAACAAAACCAACAACTTCCCATATATGTACAAAAACTATTCTGTGTTGTATTATAGACCTAAATGTGAAATCAAAATTGAAAAAATTTTGAAGTTAATGTAGAGGATATCTTCATTACCATGGAGTAATGAAAATTTTATTAGACATGATACAAATACTAGTAAAAGGGAACAGACCAATAAATTAACTCATCTAAAATTAAGAACTCTAGTTCACCAAAATACAGTGTCAAAGAAAGTAAATGGAAGCCACAAAGTTAGAGAAAATATTTGCAATACATATAACTGGACCCTATTCATATCCAGAACAGAATTTTAAAAGTAAACAAACTCCTATAAACAAAACCAATAGAAAACAATGGGTAACAGGCTAACCTTGCACTTTACATAAGAGGAATGAAAATGACAGTAAATACAAGAAAAGTTACTCAATAGTGTTAATAATAGGACAAATTATCATTGTAACTACAATAGTGTATACCTACACACCTCCATATTTAGCACAGTTTGCCAACTGATGGCAAATATGTACAGTGTCCTAAAAGTGTGGCTTTGAATAGGTGTAACAATGAAAACAGTTTTCTACTATGCAGTTAAGTTCATGATGAGCTAACATGACCTAGAAATCACTCAGGTGTTTGCATATATACCAGAATCCTTGTACACATTTTTTACAGCAGCATTGATGGTGATAGCTTAAGGCTAGAATCAATCCACATGTTTATCAGCAGTACAGGAGATAAACAGTTATATTTTCACATAGAACTACTTTTCAACAATAAAAACAAGTTACAACCAATAACAGTAGATGAATTTACCAATATAAAATTGAATGATAGACCAGCACATAAGATGAAAATGCCAATGATTTTCTTTCTACAAAATTCAAAAAGAGGCGAACCTACATTAAATTATAAAGGAGTGAATACAGATGCTCAAAGTCTACAGAAAAGGAAATAAATGATTACTAATAATGACAGAATAATGTGTGGTAGTTATTTGGATGCTCACTGTTGTACTGGTAGTTTAAATGTATGTATTAAGTTCTATGTTTTTTAAAATATAGTTTACATTTTAGGATAAGAAGCAGTTATAAAATATATTTGACGCCATTATCAAAATGCAAGAATAGCTCTTGGTGTTAAGAATAGAACATTCTGCTCTTGTAGGCATATTGTCCAGGAAATTATTTTACATGGAAGTGAATGGGACATTACAGGGCACACACATTCTTGGGCAGCTGCTCTTGCACCACTCAACTATATGACACAGGTGTATATAGAACACCTGGGAACTAAGAGGAGTTGAGAGTTGTGCTTCCTAAGCACTCCCAAATGTAAGGGGTTTATTATTATCTTGTAGCTAACTGTACCTTTGGCTGATGTGGCCTGGGGTTATACCTAACATAGTAACATTAGGCAAATAAATGCAAGCCTTGCTGTTTTATATTCGGTATTTATCCAATCCATCTTTCTATCCATAATTTAAGGAAAAATCATTTTTGGAAACCACCTAAGGTATTATTTTTAGCTTTCATAACATTTATTGTATTATGTGTGGGAAATAACATGCTCGGTAAAGAAAATTGGGAAAATGGAGAAAAGCATGCCAAAACCTAAATGACAAGTTAGTTCCAACATCTAGATTATTAGTCAAGTAGTATGTACTGCATATATCATAGATATATATTATTGTTATTATGTGAAAAATATCTGTATATAAGAATTGGTCAACTCCTTGGCTTTGATATTGCAAATAATGTCCTGGTTCATAATTTGCCTTTAACTTGCATAGTGTTTTTCAAGGCAATTTTTAAATTTAACATTTTTATGTAATCACTTCTATCAGATTTTTAAATTTTAGTCTTTATCTTTGGTGTCATGTTTTGTGAGCCTTTACTATCTCTAATTTACAAAGCTATTCATAGTTTTGTCTAGGATGTTAAATGTCTTTGGGTTACATTTTTAATGTTTACATGCAATCTACCTGGAATTTGTCTTTATTTATTTTTGAGAAAAGGGCATATTTTTCACAAAAAAATAGCAACCAAATACCC